AACCATGCCTGCAATTAGTATTATTCACAGAACCCAATCCTCCCAATCCCTGGACACTTTGGCCCACAGCCTAGAATGCTTTTAATATCCCTTGAACTTGAGCTAACCATTTCAGATATTATAGCATGGCATATATGATGCTGCTTTAATTGTTAAAACTCAACACCTCGAGGTCCTGGTGACGTAGTTTGAAATCTCTGCTAGAGATTACAGTTACCTGAATTACAGAACTATGGCTGTCTTAACAAAATATTGAAAGCATTTTCAGAGATACATATCACATGCTTCAGAGGATTGACCGATGAAATAGGGTTATAGCCCTATTTGATGTAGGGCTATAACCTACATCAAATAGGATATGAAGTACATTGATCAAATGTACTTCATATCCTATTTGATGTAGGTTATAGCCCATAAATGTGATTTTAAAAAACCCTAGCAGCATACCGCTGAGCTCAGAAATAGTCGCAAAATATTCGCAAATCAGTCTGTGCCTGTAAATGTCAAACTGTGGCAGCATTTTCCCCTCTTTATCCAATCAGAAATGTGTTTAAGTTGGATACAAAACATTAGGGAGTAGACAAAACTGAAAGTTTTCTACAGCCAAACTGCCAATTTTTTAGTACTATTAACTCTGTTTTAGGAAACTAAATAAATAAAAATCTCCCACTGTGTTGGGTTTGCATAAGACACAAACAAACAAAGCATTGCTGAAACAAATGTTATTGGTAATAATGCTCTTTGAGACAGTGTCAATTTTCTCCACAAGATAAATCTACAGCTTAGTGTTTTCTGGTCAGTATAAAACTACTTTTAATTATTTAACATATTTGTCCATCTCCTCTCAGTCTGTCAGGGCCAACATGTTGATGTATGTACAATCAATTACATATTTTAAAACATTAAATAAACAAGTAAAAATCAACTAAAACAACCCTTTAAAACATTTTTAAACCACAGAAAGTTAAAAAAACAAAACCTCGGAGTGGCCATCCTTAGTTATGCAAAGCAACACAGTTTGAGCTGTCTACTGGAAGCTTAGAAGGAATAAAGTCAGTCTAATTTCCCTTGGCAGCTGGATCTACAGTTGGCTTGCTGCTGCATGGGCGGGTTCTGTTGCATATACTCACCAACCTAGACTTGTGGAGTGGTGGGACCTGAAATGGTTTTCCACTGAGTATCTTAAATATAGAAATATATACCTATTCTCTCTCTCTCTCTCTCTCTCTCTCTCTAGTTCAGTATATCACTGAAATATTATCTAGCTCATGGCAAAAACCTATGAAAGTGTCTAGAAAAGTGGAAGAACTTTTATCTGGTGGTGTAAACAGTTTAAGAACATTTGGTTTGGAAAAGATTGAAAAAAGTGTAATTGCACTGCTTATTATTTGATTTTTGAATCCAGCTAAGACTCTGGTCAATTCACTGTCAAAAGGTAGGAAAACCTCTTTGGGAGTGGGGTTATAATGGACATGCTGACAAGGAGCACTCTTGGAACTTTAGTCAAAAAAGCAACTGTGGGGATGGGGGAGGAGGTGTTTACTATAATTGATAGGGATGGCAGGTCAGATTCTACTTGTGACATCTTCATTGATGGTTATATTCTATCGAGAGAGGAGGAAACATGGTATGTTTTCCTCTAATGTCAGCTATCACAGTGATATCCATTCATTGGAAAACAGAAGTTTTGTTTTTTTATGAATGACTGGGGAAAGAATTCCTGCATATGTCTCCTCTTATCTTTGGAACAACAGGGTTCGCTGTCTTTAAATAAATCCTAGAGATCTCAGGCATTTGAAAACCAACTAGTTCTTTAACTGAACTAATTGGCCTGTCCTCACTGGGGCCAAATATAGGCAACTGACATATATAACAACCACGCAAGCTCCCATGACTCCTTCGCAGCTATATTACACTTCTCAGAAGGAAAAATTATTAAGGTGTACCTAGTAAGACTTAGTGCTAACATTTCCTACATGTCTTAACAGGGTTAATTCTGTCTGATTTTAGCTTGGACTCATTGCTCAGAGCACTGCTGATGAAAGATATCCTCCTTCATAATCTCATTTGTTTCAGTTTGCTTAGAAGTTATCGGAAATTTGTGTATGGTTATAACTGAATGAGGGAGAGATAGTTTACTACCGGTGTGTAAAATGTTCTGAGAAACTTGCCCTTAGCTCTACTTGTGATAACCCACTGGTGCTGCTATTTAATAGGTCACAGAAAGACAGTTATTTATTTTTCTACCATTTGCATTTGAAGCACCTTCTTTTGTAGTTGGTTTCCTTTGACCACATTGATAAGACAGGCATACTAAAATTTGAAATGTCACTCTACAAGCAGTGTTCAAGAGTTCAATAAATAATGTCAAGTCATGTGATTGAAAACCAGCCTTAGCTGCCCATATTTTCATACCTATGGGTGTTTGAATGTAGTACTGTGTTTTATTACTACTTCATCTCTTAGAGTCTACCTTTATAAGGAGACATCCTTATTTCTGTGGTTCTCTCTGTGTGTATAAATACCTAGAAGCTTAAAACTTTGAGACATCAGTGTATTTTATTTCCGTGTAAGGTGGGAACTGCTGCACTGTATATACATTTTAGATTTATCTCAGAGAAAGGTTGCAGAGGGGTGCTTTAAAATCACCTTATCAGCTCTAAATAGCTATTGTGTACATATGGTAAGGTACTGCTGCTTAACAATTAGTAACTGCTTTGATGAAACTAAATTACATGTTTAAGTTCCCATCAGGAAGTCGCTTCACATATCTGTATTAATGTATTCAAGGCTTGAGAAGGAAAGTTAATTTTCCAGCTTAAATATTTAATTCAAGCTTAAAATTTAGTCTGTAATTAGAGTTCCCAAATGGCAGGAACATGGAGTATTTGTCCATTTTAATTAGATTGTTGTTTACCTATTAATTATATATCATATCTTGTCATATAGTTTTGATGGTAACAGATGGTGCTAGGAGTTAGTAAGGGTTTGAACAAAATAAGATTCCACATGATTTATTAAGTTGCACTTTATTAGTGTGTAGTCTGCTCTACTCAGGTTATTCTCCTGAAGAACTTTGAAACATTACACACATGTTGATTTTTTAGAGAGCCCAAGGAAATGTGCTTAGGGTGTGCTGCGTGCCATAGAACTTAGTGTCTAGAAATTAGTGGCACTTGCATCAAAATAAAGGAGTCATCTGAAGCATTTGTTTACAAAGACAGAGTTATTGGGGGTTTAAAATGTTTTAAATGTGTGGCTAATATGTTTCTGACTAAATTCATAAAAATCCCTCTGCTTTAGATGCTTTGTTCTCCTTGATTTTTAAACCTGTATGATGTGGACTATAAAAGTATGGAATTAACATTCAGAAAGGCACAAACATTTATTTATTTATTTATTTAATCAGCGTATTCATACTCTGCCCTTCAGCTAAAAACCTTCTAAATAAAATATTCTAAGCTGTGAAGTTGACTGTGTTAAGTTTGAAATATAAGGTTCAACTCAAATCATTATGTACTTTCCCAAAACAGATTGAAATGCTTTGGGCTGTTTTCTTTGTTCATGGAATAGGTCATATAAATAGCCTATATTTATATGACCAACATATGATCTCGAGGTCCACAAGTCCTTGATTTCTAAGAAACATCTTGATCGTTCACATTTTGCAGAGACCTGGTAACAATTTATTTTTATTTATTTCATTTGCATCCAACCACTGTCCAAAGGGTGATATACATGTTTTACCTAGTAAGACACAAATTTATTATATCTATTAGGGCTGGGCGGTTTTGTTTCGTAATTTCGTAATTCGTTAAAAATTCGTTATTTTTTTTTTGGTTACGAAGCGATAACGAACCATTCAGGAGCATCTAAAAACGAAAAGAATTTTTCCAATTCGTTTCGTAATTGCTTCGTATTCGTTTCGAAATCGTTTCGAAATCGTTTCGTTATTATTTCCGCACGTCTGGGGCAAGTTTTATAGCTGTTGTTTGTTTAATCAGTGAAAAAAAATTATAAATATCACACCAACAGTCTACAACAGAGGGAGAGGGAAGCTTCAGAAGTTCCCCCTGTCCCATATGGAGGTTTTTTAGCGTATTGCGCGGTCGCGTCCGCCATTAACGAATCGATTCGTATTCGTTTCGTATTGTTTCATAATTTTACGAAATTTCATAAATATCGAACTTTTTAAAAGAAAAATTTCAGAATTCTTTTAAATATCGAAACGCAAAAAACCCCAAAAAACTAATCGAGTTTAGAAACAAATTTTTCCGTGGTTGCCCACCCCTAATATCTATCTATGTGTTTATCTATTAGTGAAAAGCGGTCATTCAAATCCTTTAAAATAGTGTAATAGTATAGTGTAATAAATGAAGGCATACCTCTAACAAAACAGCTTCTTTTTACAAAGTCTCTTTATACCTGCCCAATCTCACCCCAGCCCCCACTTTTGCACCAGTGCGTCTGTAATCAACAGTGCCATAAAAAACAAACTGGGAATGAGCAGAAGCTTCTTCTACTGTAGGTTATTTTTATTTATATCAGGAGCAAACCAAGGGTACAGTTTTAATGTATATATATATTTTTAAAACCCATAAACTTGGTGTTATATTCAGTGTCTTTTGACCAGTAGCTGGCCACTTGGAGTGCCTCTGGTGTTGCTATAAGGAGCTCCTCCATTGTGCATATGGCAGGGCTTAGACTGCATTGTAATAGGTAGTTTGTGGTTTGCTCTTCTCCACATTTGCATATTGTGGACTCCACTTTGTGGCCCCATTTCTTAAGATTGGCTCTGCATTTCGTGGTGCCAGAGTGCAGTCTGTTCAGCACCTTCAAAATCGCCCAGTCTTCTGTGTTCCCAGGACGGAGGTTCTTATCCATGGTATCAGCCATGGATTGAGGTTCTGGGGTTTAGCCTGCCACTTTTGGACTCTCGGTTGCTTATGTGTTCCTGTGAGTGTGTCTGTAGATCTTAGAAAACTATTTCTTGATTTAAGGTGTTGGCGTGTTGGCTGATATCCAAACGGGATGAGCCGGAGATGTCACTGCTTTGGTCCTTTCATTATTGACTGCTACTTCCCAGCGGATGTCAGGTGGCGTGATACCAGCCAATAGTGTAATTTCTCCAGTGGTGTAGGGCGCAGACATCCTGTGATAATGAGGTATGTCTCATTAAGAGCCACATCCACTGTTTTAGCATGATGAGATGTGTTCCACACTGGGCATGCATACTCAGCAACAGGGCAGATGTCTTCATTGTGTCTGGTTGTGATCCCCAGGTTGTGCCAGTCAGCTTTCGTATGATATTGTTTCTAGCGCCCATTTTTTCCTTGTTATTTAAGCAGTGCTTCTTGTACATCAGAGAATGTTCCAAGGTAACTCCCAGATATTTGGGTGTGCTGCAATGCTCTAGTGGGATTCTTTCCCACGTAATCCTCAGAGCTCGAGATACTTGTCTGTTCTTAAGATGACAAGCACATCTCTGTGTTTTAGATGGATTAGGAATCAGCTGGTTTTGTCTGTAATAGGCAGTACAGAGAGTTTCTGTTCAACCATCTCAAAACTTCCTTCTTGAGCGGTGATGGCACGTCTACTGTACCTACAACAGGTAAGGTAAACTACAGCTGCCTCCAGAATCCTTTATTGAGAATGTATGAATATCAAAACAGAGAGAAATGGGGAAAGCAAACAAGCTGCCACACCAGCATCTTAAAATCTTAGATCTTTATCCCTGGCCACTAATCTATCTATATACATAATAAAATTATACTATCTATCTATCCACATAATAAAAATAAAAATGTGTATGTGGCGGAGGTATCCACTTACACAGACAGCCTCCCACCTCCACAAACAGCTTTAACCCACAGTGCTGAGGAGCCACCAGAGCACTCCTTCCACGGACATTGCAGGTTATAGCGGACACCATGAACGTGTCCCCCAACCCCTGCGAATGTTCTCTCCAAACACCACACTGCCAAACACCCAAGTGAAAGCTGTCCTCCACAAACACCATACTGCCCACAAGTGAAGGGTTTCATAGGGGGACAATTTCATCCCAGATTTGATGTGTTTCCTCCCCATCCCAGTGTTTCTGACCCCGCCCACTGCCTCTCCCTTAATTCTATCCTACCCTTTCCTATGGCGCACAGCAAACAGGAATTAATCAACAACTAAACATACTGGAGGGGTTTTGGGGACTAACTCAACCTGATGGATGTTGTAGTTCACCCTGTATCAAGACAGAACACTGTGACCCCCACCTACAATGGACCTGTATCACATTTGGCACATGGAATCCCCATGATCAACTGGAGAGGTTTGGGAAGAATTCACCTTGATTTATAGGAGTTGTAGGTACTGGGATGTATAGTTCACCTGCAATCAAAGAGCACTCTGAACCCCACCAGTGATGGACCTGGAACTAACTTGGCACACAGAACCCTCATGATCAGTGAAACATACTGGAGGTCTTTGGAGGGATTTATAGGAGTTGTAGTTCACCTACATTCAGAGAGCAATGTGAACCCAAACAATGAGGGATCTGGACCAAACTTATCACACATAGCTGATATGCCCAAATTGGAATACTGGTGTGTTTGGGGAGGAGTTTTAGGTACTGGGATTTATAGTTCATCTGCAATCAAGGAACACTCTGAGTCCCACCAAAATGAGAATTGGCACATGAAACTTTCATGACCATCAAAAAATACTGGAGGTCTTTAGGGAAAATTCACCTTCATTTGGGGGAGTTGTAGTTCACGTTCATCCAGAGAACATTGTGAATCCAAAAGCAAATTGATCTGGACCAAACTTGGGGTGCATACCTGATATGCCCAAATTTGATTACTGGAGGGGTTCAGGAGGGCTTGACCTTGAGTTTTGAGAATTGTAGTTCTTCTAAAACCAGAGAAACAGTGACCCCTACCAACAATGGACCTGAATCAAACTTGGCACACAGAACCCCCCATGACCAGCTAAATATACAGGAGGGGTTTGAGGGGAACTGATAATGGACATGCTGATAATGGACACGTTTCTGGGAGTTATAGTTCATCTATATCTGGACACACTGTGACCACCACTGACAATAGACAGAATCCCCATGGGCCAACTGAACCTTCTGGAGTGGTTTGAGGGGACTGACTCATCATGGTGGGAGTTGTAGTTTACCCTGCATTTTGTAAAATAAAAAAAATGACTTTCTCAAATTACCCTGGCAATATCAGATACCCAAGCTGGTATAGAAATATAAAGTGGAGGCTTGTGAAAGAAAGAAAAAACATATTCCTGAATTCAAGTTGAAGAAGCTTTCAAGTTGTCTCTAAAAGGTTCAGTATGCTTTTGTTTACATATCCCAGGCTCATCCTCAGCTGGTCATTTCATTTCACATTTTTGTGTGTTCAGTTTTGGATGAAAACTTTCACTGAAACATGCTGAACTGCTCTCCCTTTTTGTAGTACTGGAGCCTACCCCCCATTTTTTCTTATTTCTATCTCTACTACAAATGTTTCCGCTAAGAAATAATGGCCTTGAGCTTGTTGACTTGGTTAACAGAGGTACACCTGTACATGAAATGTTCAGCATGTCAATTCAGGGTCTAACTTTTAGACTTAGGCTTAACCTATCTTTCAGAAAGGTATTAAAGAACTTTTTGGTTGAAATTAAGTTTGCTTGTCAGAGGAAGGGCAACAAAGGTTATGACCTTGCAAATTGCATAGTTCATGTAAGTTGATGACTTCTTTTTGGAAGAAATAGCAGACAGTAAGCAGTGAGCTGGTTCCAAGTGTTGTTTTTTTTAAACTAATAGAGGAGAACTGATCTTATCAGAAGGGTTCTCCTTTTTCCCATATGGGAAATGCAACTTCCTTTTGTAATGCCTCTATATTCTCAAAAGGGTATGTACATCCAATTAATGTTTTTCCCTTTCAGGAAAACTACATACTTTTGAAGTTTGTTAGGTTTGTGTTATCCAGATCTTTTCCCTAAATTAGGAAACAAGCATGAAAGCATAATCAGTAGTAATATTAGTGTTTTAAAATATTGACAGTTTTTCTCTTGAAGATACGGTCAGAGTTTTGTTAGGGAAAATAAACAGATGGCCACATGGAATGCTGTAATTTCAAGACTTGTTTAGTGGGCGACTCGACAAACAGTTGATCTATAAAATTGCCTTCTTCTTCTGGCACACATTTTATACATTTTATACATATGCTACAACAACAGATGCTTGGTACTGAGACTAGTTTACCACGCTCCATTCCCTTCCTGAAACCTGTAACTTTTGCTACTTACACCTAATGTGTTTATGGTGACTTTTCTTTCTTTCCGTCTTAATTGCTCCTCCCAGGACACATACTATTTTAAAATATATCATTAAATAGATCCATTGACAAGCAAAGGGATAGTATGGGATTATCTTGGATGGGTTTGTAAACCAAAGATTATCTTGTTACCACGTTCACATGAAGAAATCAGCAGCACTGAAACCACATAGCAACTCTAAAACATTTGGCTGACTACACGATCTTTTTGTAATGTATCTGAACAAGAAAATTAGAAAAAAAAATGTTTAATTTGTGTATAATTAGTTATTAAGCTATCAACAGAAATAGGTACAGTTATTATTCTGTCCATCAGTCATGACTCAGTGTTTATATTCCAGTGATTATCTCTGAGCTTTGATGGACCTAATACTGTTATTGCTTAATAGAGAGAGGCAAGTATTATTTTTTAAAAGAATCCACTCCACATGTTTTGTTTGGTTCAATATGCCACTAAATAGAAAATTAAATAATGCACAATTCTCATAAATCGTTTGCTGCCAAATGTTGTTGCGAGAGGTAACTTAATGACTTGCTTTCGAATTTTCACATAGAAATTAGAACATGAAAATCCATGACAATACATTTGGTAATCATTCATTCTGTACAAATAGACACCTCCAGGAGCTATATTTTGTGAATCACAATTCTCACATATTATTTGTATGCATATAATTGATTCATGTCATGTATATACAGTATGCACCACTGTTACATGCATTCACCATTTATACATTCAGTATAAAAACCATCACAGTTCTCATAGTGCTATATCTTTATCCCTTAGTTTTATTCTGTTTCTTTCTACCTGGTCTGTCAGATGACAGTGGAGGCAATCCTGTGCATAAGTACACTGTGTGGTGTCTGAAAGCTTAAGAGGAATGACATAGAAAAATTATAGGTGATGGCAAATTAGGAAATGATGGCAACATAATTCAAGCAAAAGATCAAAGTCACGTTAAAGAAAGTGAACACCATCATGTATATCATCAGACACATAAAACCAACAATCTATAGTCTGGAAGGCATGCACATCATTTTACAGTTGAGACTGGTGACCAGTTTAAGACCATTCAGTTAACCCATAATGGCTTTCTTAAGTTATTAAGAAAGGATTTGAATTTGCGAATCATTGTACTAGCCAAACGGATGGGCAGATAAGCAGAGTCCCTGACAATAACATCGATTTGGTAAACTAGTCACAGATCATTTGGAGCTTTAAAGGTAGTAACTAGCATTTCTTTGTCATATTCTGTGCAACTCACAGATTGACTCACCTGCACAAAGACTCCTTTGTAAACTTCTAGAGCTGATTAGCTTTGATGGTAGACTTGTCCTGTCCTTTATGCTGGGCATACTGCTAAATCTGCTGTCTGTTGGTTCCTTTTTGTCTATCATTAGAGAAACAACTTTTGGAGCCTTCTCTCTCTATTCCTCTCCTGCCTGAACAGTTATTGTTTTATTTAGGTAGCCTTAACTTTTATTTTTTCCCAAATTATTTTGTCATAAAGTGCTCATACATCATATGATAGAAATATTGTCAACAAACAAACAAAATCTTGTCAATAAACCAACAAAATCTTTTTCAAGATTTTATGGTCCAAGACCCGAAGTACTAAGTTTCCCCCTTTCTTCATTGGAAGAAAACCCTTCAGTTAGCAGATCAAATACCTCAGTACATTCAGCAAATCTAACAACCTTTACATTCAGTGTTTTCGTCAACAAGAGGCTTGCAGCCTTAGAAAGCAACAAATTAGAGTGTAGCCAAATTGGTTTATGGGCAAAAGACTCAAAATATGCACCAGAAGGCCTAGTGCTTTATGTTGACAGCACTAGAT